GACCAGCTGTGTGAAGCTCCCACCTTGCCCGAAGGCGGCAGCTAGCAAGGAAGCGACGTTCACCATGAGCGCTCCCGGGTGCTTGAGCCCGCTTTTGCTTTTGCTTGCACTTGCAACAAAGGTGCACCTGTCTAGCATGGGGCCGTATAGCCTGTTCTGCTGCAAGACCATGCGCGTCGCTTCCCGCATATGATGCGCTTGGTGTAACTCGGGCACGCCCTCCTCGGCGACCTCCGCCAAGATGGCGCTCAAAGCAGATTTGCTCGCATGCGGCACTTTGCGCCGCAGGTTGTCGAGTTTCTGGAGCTTCTCTGCACGCTCCATGCCGCTGCAGGAGCGCGCCTCGCGACAGCTACCCCGCGAGGCTCCGACAGGTGGCTCCTAACTATATATGGATGGAGCATGCACAGACGTTTGCGCGGAACACTTCCTCTGCGTGTTTCGTTTTGCACGCATGCTTATATATGTGTTGCTCACGAATGCACGAGAAGTGTTTTTTGCGGTTTCTTTTGCATTTCCATGTGCAGATGCGTGATTTTTTTCGTGGCTGCATGGCCGGATATGTCTTAATTTGCCTACGTGCATGATGCGTGCAAGCATGCTTCTCTGACAAAAGCGGCTGCCGGCCATCAGAATGCAAAGCGTGCTAGCCAGTTTCACCGCAATCCCTCATGCAGGCGCCTCATGCATGCCAAATGCATGAATGCATGCACACATCTTATTTTTTCTCACCCCCTGCACGCATGGCTTTCCATGCCGAGTCCCCTCCCCTAAAGCGGCTGTCCGGAGCCCCCCTTTGGCGCGCAGCACAGCAGCACGGCGACGCTTCGCCCTCAGCCCTCAGCGGCTCTGCGTGGCCCTCCATTCCTCCCGCGTCAAGCGTGCACCCGTAAAGTTGGGGTTGAGGCAAACGGCGCACTGGGACTTGCTGCCCCTGCACTTCTTGCACCCCTTCTTGACCGCCTGAACGGGCGCCGCCTTTGCCTTGGCTTTAGGCTTAGCTTTCGCCTTAGCTTTCGCCTTGGCTTTCGCCTTGGCTTTGGCCTTGGCTTTGGCCTTGGCTTTGGCTTGGGCTTTGGCCTTAGCTTTGGGCTTGGCTTTGGCCTCTGCCTGGCCTGCCGCTCGGGCACCCATGTAGTCGTAAGCCTTCTGCTCGTACTCCTCCAAGCTAAGCTCTGTAGCAGGTTTCTGCTCTCCTGGTTCCTGCGCCGTCGCAGGCTCCTGCGCCGGCGCAGGCTGCTGCGCCGCCTGCTGCTGCACACCCAAGGGCGGCAGAGCGCTCGGAGGCAGCGAAGTTGCAGCAGGTGCACCTGGCTGGGCTGCTGCAGCTTGCGCAGTGGAACCAGCAGCCTGCTGAGCTCCGCTACTTGAAGAAGGCAAAGCCAGCTGCAGCGGAGCTCTTGCGTGTGCTGCAGCTTGTGCACTGGAAGCAGGTGCCTGCTGAGCTCCGCTACTTGAAGAAGGCAAAGCCAGCTGCAGCGGAGCTCCTGCGTGTGCTGCAGCTTGTGCACCTTTCTGCAAGATCTGCACGTTGGGCGCCCCCTGCCCCATCATGAAGCCGGCGAAGCTCTGCAACGCATGCATGAACTGCACATGGGCCTGCGGGTCAACCGCACTCCGGACAGGGGTTGCCACAGGGGCACGCGCCGTTTTGTCTTTGCGTACACGACACAAAGACACAGCTTGCTGCAGGAAGGGCAAGTCCTTAGCCACTGCGGGCTCGCCTGCAAAGAGCGCGTTGTGCATTTCTGCACTGAGGTGCACCGGGTCGCTCGGGTACAGGCGAAGCGCCGCCACCCCGGGCGCCGGTTGAGTCCTGTCAGCTTGGAAAGCTCCCGTCAAAGACTGCGCCAGCTCCAAGAGCTCCGACTGCGTGGGTGCCGCACTGCCGTTGGCCACGCGCCACGAAGCAAGCACGCAGGTGGCGTGTTTCTTCGTGTCCTCCTTCAAGCTCTGCACCCCGAGCTTCCGCAGAGTTTGCGCCAACGCGTGCACGCCAACGGAGCCGGACTGCGACAAGCGCACCCAGTCACTCTCCGTGCAGTAGTTCTGCAAGTGCAGCAGCGACTGAGGCACCTTCTGCACTTTGTACGCGCTCGCCTGCCCCGGCTGCACACCGCCGCGAAGGCGCGTGTCCACTGCTGCTGTCAGGACATCTTTCGAGTCCCCGAGCACCGCCGCATGCTGCCCAATGGCTTGGTACAGCAACGCAGGATCGCACTCCTGCGCACTTTCCAGCTTAGCAACTATGTTGCTCACAAGTCCGCGCCGCACCTCGTCCGGTGCGCTCGTGCCGCAAGTGCTGCGCGCACGCAAAAGCTCCGCGACTTCTGCGATCTCACGCACACAATCTGCTGTGCCCCACACAGCAGCCATGTTGCTCCCACGCAGGTCCGAATGCAAGACTGTGAAACTTTGTTATGCAATATACTCTGCATGCTGCTCAAGCACTCGGACCTTTGTGGGTTCGAAAAACTTCGGACGGGTTCGCTATACACACTGCATGCAAGATATAGTTCCTGAAAGCAGGTTGTGCTCATTCTTTACGGGATGCAAGAAAGCTGTAAAAGTGCATGCTTCTTAACCGTTGACCTTATATAAGGTTTCTTTGAGCAATGCATGCGTGCTGCTTCGCAATATGAAGTGGCTGCTTCGGTGCTGTCATCGACTTCATGCTACAACTGCGCACGAACCACTCTCAGCGGCGCAGCAAAAATAACAAGGATCCTTCGAGCTGCTCGATTTGCTTCGCATGCACATATAGGTGCATGATGCAAGGGGCTACGTGATGCCGAGTCTTTTTCATGATCGGGCGACGGAGGACGGTCGGCATGCATGGACCGCACCACATCCGAAGCTTGTTTGCTTTTCTAAGCACCCTGCCCTGTGTGGTTACAGGCACCGCAGCTGGGATAAGAAAGTCACTTGTCCCGTGTGCGCTTGCAGCAAACGAATGGCAGCGCATGTCCAGCAAAGTTGCTCTCGATGAAACAAGTCGGTTTCCACTTCCAGGCACACGAGAAAGCGATTGCAACAAGTGCACACATCGTCCTCTGCCGGGTCCGGCACTTCGAGCTCATCGTCCGAAGGGACTTCGTGAGACAGCAGTTGAATGCTCCGAGCGCCTTGCGCTGGAAACTCACGGCTATTGTACCGCAAGAGCTGCGCCGCTGCACACTCCCAGCACAACTTATGCTGCTCTCTGTCCGACACGCCAAACTCTACAGGGCGCTCAATCATCACATGTGACTCCTGCCCGCCGCAGTCCACACATTGCGACGAGCGCACCAATGTGGAGACACTGCTTTCTGACTCCGCCTCTTCACCGGACGACTCCGCCTCAAGGGCACCCAACCCACCACGCACGCACATTGGCCTGCGTGGCATTTTCACTTGCACTTTAAATTCTATAGACTGCATTGCATGGGCTTCAGTGCTGTGCCAAGCACTATGCAAATGTTCTGACACCAGCTCCTGCATGCATGTTGTTTGTATATGACAACCAAGGCTTTGTCTGCTGTCTGCACGTGTCATGTCATGCTTCCTTGATTCGATATATGTCATTTCAAGCATACACTTTATAAACCCAAGCACAAAAGTGTTGTTTCAAATGCACATATATGCCTCGATCAAGAAAATAGTATATACAGATACATACGTTCTCGCATAAGGCTGAAATCATGTGCTGGTCGAGGTGTAAGCACATCTGCATGTTTCGACATTTAATGGTATATAGACGGTCACATATTGTTTAATATAGCAAGCTATATAGAACATACATGGGGTTTGGGCTTTGCGGTTTGGGGTTT